CATAGCAGCACATCCAAAGGAGGTTAGTGCAGCTTTGTATACGGAACTCAAAATCTGGATTGACAACCGATGCTTTGAGATGTATGCTTTATCCATAGCTTCCAACATCATGACATCCAGGTATGTATACAAGTGGAAGTTTGTAAAGGTGGGTACCGAGAACGTTAAAACCATTCGTCTCAGACTTGTCCTTCGTGGATTTATGGATACTGAGGCTTTCGACGTGGAAACATTCTCGGGAACCGCCCGAAGGCAGTCCCAACGACTCCTGGCAAGTGAGGCGGCATGCCATCCAGAGTGGATCTTAGCATCCATGGACATCGACAAGGCGTTCCTCAAGGGTTTGACCTATGAGGAACTTGCCCATGCCACCGGCGAGGAAACTCGCATGGTCTGCTTCACTCTTCCACCGGGAAGTGCCCAGGTACTTCGTACACTACCCGGCTTCTCATCTTATGACGAAAGCCGACACTGCCTCAGGCGCCTCAAACCAGGAACGGGTACAAAGGACGCTCCAAGAGCTTTCTCTCTCAAACTTCGTACGACCACACGAGCTATAGGCCTTGCACCGACCAGTTATGACCCTGAAGTTGAATTCAGCCAAGATCTGCTAACGGCAAAACATGTCGATGATATTAACATGACAGGCCTAGAGAAAAATATAGACGACTATGTACAGCGTGTCGAACAGGTGTTTGGCAAATGCAAGCTCAACAAACACTCATATACGAACTGCGCCGTTCGCTACACTAAGAATGATCAAGGGGATGTGATCATGGATCAGGACGAGTATATCAAACAACTACGTCCTATCACACACCCAGAGCTTACAGGAGCGGCGGCCGATGCCAAAGCCACGAAACTCATTACCGACATGTTCGTCAGCTTGCGAGGAGCCCTCGCCTATGCCCTTCTCACTCAAATCTGGCTCTTGGTATACGTGGTCTCTCTCCAGAAAATCCAAGAGCCCACCAATCTGCAAGTCAGACGTCTGAATGCTGTGACGCGAAAGCTGATCAGCAGCCCGAAACGCATCACCTTCCCTCGGATGAAGCCTACGAATGAAGTTGACATCCGCAGCGATTCGGGGTATCGGAAGCTCACCGGGGAGGAGGATGATGAGACCAAGGGCTACGGCATACGCGGGGCTAATGTACTACGGCGAGGGAACTCGCCTCAAGGCAAGTCCGTCGTTCACCTCTGTGACGGACTATGCAAATCACACCGACTGCAGGTGAGGTCCAGCTATGCTGCGGAGGCACTCGCAGCTGCGCATAACCTTGATGAGAATTACCCTGCGCTCATCACACTCCACGAGCTCAAGGCAGGAGCTCTGACTCCACGACAACTACGAGCTATGCGTGAAGTTGGAGGCCTAGCCATCAAAGTATCTCTTACCATAGACGCTGGGTCCGTCTATAAATCATTATCAAGCAAGGATCTTAAGATACCGACAGAGCGGACTCTGCTAAGACATATCAGTTGGATACGTGAGCTCATGGATATAGGTATAGTACATAACGTGCAGTGGTGTGATACTAGGGATATGACCGCAGACGGGCATACAAAGGGAAGCATCGATCGGGAGCTGCTTCTGGAAGTAATGTCAGGCACTCAGCCATTCAAGTATGACGTGAAGCAGTTTGTTCCCTTTCGGGGTCCCGAGGACAGAAACAAACCTGAGTCTAATCAATTTTAGTCTGTCCTTGTTGCCCCCCGCGGTCCAATTTGCCAGCGTGGGCGCCTACTACAGAGGCGCCCTTCTAGTTGCTCGGAAACAAGCCTTACATTTCACGCCTGGCAACGAGCCGGCTTTATATGACTCAGGCTCTTTGCCTTCATACCTATTTGCTCGGTGAGGTATGGCCCGTTTGGCTTACCTCTAACTGAGCCGATAGCCCTTCATCGTTCGAAGGGGCTATCTTGCATTTGCGTGAAATGCCTTGCGAGGAAACTCGCCTTACAGTCTGGTGTTAGGCCAGACCGTACACATTGTTTTCTTTCTTGCAAACAGTTGTGCGCGCGGCCTTTGCAGAGCCTAACGGCTGCGCGGCTATGCTCTCCGCCTCCCCCCCTCCCGACTTTAAGGGTAGCTCTTTGGGAGATGTTATAGTATCGGGAGCATAGCTCGCGCGCCGTTGCCTTGGGCTCAAGGCACGCGCGCCCTATTTGCCCGGACACTTACCTTAGTGTTCACTATGTGCTGGAAAGACCGATACATCGATCTTATCCTATCATACCCATCCACTCCCCATATCGTATTCCTTCGACATGGAATTGGATGCAATGTGAGCTCATCCGCCTCCCATGGAGACGGATGCTATTTGACCTACCAGGCTCACTTTCGATTGTATGTTGAGTGTTGTGTGTGCTTGTGTGCGTGCTTGTGTCTACCGTTCCTTGGTAGCTTTCCTCGCGTCCTACGTCCTCGTCCTCCTCCTCCTCCTCCTCCTCCTCCTCCTCCATTCTCTCTCCTCCGTCCTCCCTTCTGCCTCCTCGCTCCTCCTCCCTCCTGCCTCCTCGCTCCTCCTCCTCCTCCTCCTTCTCCTCCCCTCGCTCCTTCCTCGTCCCTCCTCCCTCCTCTCTCCTTCCTCCTCCCTCCTCCGTCCTCCTCCTCCCCCTCCTCCTCCTCCTCCTCCTCCTCCTCCTCCTCCTCCTCCGCGTCATCATCCTCCTCATCATCATCAGCATCATCATACTAATCATCGTCTGCATCAACATCAGCATCAGCATCAGCATCCTCATCATCAGCATCCTCATCATCAGCATCCTCACTATCATCATCATCATCATCATCATCGTCATCATCATCAGCATTATCATCATCGTCGTCATCATCAGCATCGTCATCATCACCGTCACCATCCTCATCTGCATAACCATCATCACCATCACCATCATCACCATCATCCATGTCCTCCTCTTCCCCCTTCCTCCCCCTCCTCCTCCTCCTCCTCCTCCTCCTCCTCCTCCTCCTCCTCCTCCTCCTCCTCCTCCTCGTCCTCCTCCTCCTCCTCTTCGTCCTGCCCCACGGTCCCTGTGACTTCTGCGTAGGGCGCACGGGCACCGTGCCGCTGTCGCGGGGGCGGTGCGGCCGCGCGTCTGCGGCAGCCTCGTCTCGTCTCAAGGCGCGCTCGCAGTTCCAGGTGGCTGGATCCGCCCCCCTCCCACACAGCATGCACCACAGGGGAGCCCGTACGCTCCACGGGCCTTGGAATGCGGGTCAGGCAGAGGCCCGCTGTGGCTGGACGCCCATGCTTGGCGCAGGCATCTGGCGCACGGGCGGCATGTCAGCTCCCTATACCGCTCTCCATTCCTCGTCCTCCTCCCCGTCTCCGTCCACTGCGCCGCAGGTCGGCCGGCCAGGGCGGGCGACGCCCGGCGACGGCGTCGTGAGCCCTCTCTGTCGGCCCCACTCGCGCCAGGAGCGCTCGCGGATGCGGCGCGCACGGGGCACCGTGCCACTGCCGCGGAGATCTGCGCTGCTCCACGTCTGCGCGGCAGCCCCTGCTCGTCCTGGGTCGCGGTCGCTGCTGCTGTTGGCTGCTGGCTCCGAGCCCTCCTCTCCTCGGGGACTCGTGGGGGGGATAGGCTCGGTGGGGGATAAATCAACCCCGAATCGCCCCTTCATCGCCCGACAGCGCACCCCGCCCAGGAACGGTCAAGGATTCGCCACGGGGGGCTATCGCCGGTCTATCGGCGGTGCATCGCCGATTCCAAGTCGATGTTTCCGCCCCCCCCATCCTGAGCCTATCCCCCCAGAACGTTCCCCCATAATGCTTATCCTTCTCCCCGCGCGTAGAGCGCAGCCAACGCGGCATAGCAGTTACACAGTATTGAACGATCGCGTCGGTTGCGGATCGGCGTGAGGGGGCGGCGGTGCCGTCGGCAGTCTGCGAGGATCTGAAGAAGCCCGCCGCAAGTGCCAAATCTGCACACATTACACCAA